CGTAGTCATATCTCATTAGTCATTACTAAGCTAGTTATTTAGCTAATCTTAATTCATAAGACCCTTGCCCCTTTATGGACCGAAGAGGGATGAAGTGGCTCGCGGTGCGCAAACAAGAAGCAAGCATTCAGGACAGGACTCGATCGACAGTATATACACAGGGAGGGTTTTCCCCTGCCGAGCACAGAGCATCAAACAGACCTGTACATACAAACATACACAACTGCACATACTCAACTGGAATCCTGTATGCATAACAATAGTAACATCTCATAGTTAATGCAACAGAAATAGAAATGATATTAGCGAGCAACATGAAGCTTGATATCCAACACTCGAAGAAGTCTGCTAGACCCAAAGAGACAATATACAGACCAACATAAGATATTACTGGAATTGTAAGTCCCCAAGAGGCTCACAAAAGAAAAACCTAACTAAGAAAACAAATGAATCCTCCAGACCATTGTTCTAGTGCGAGCTTCTAGAAATAAGGTCGGCTCCTAGCCCGAGGGTCGCTTCCTGTATCCGCATACACAAAGTTAAAATCTGTCAAATGTGACCAAAGCAAGCGAAGCGGTAAAATGAAGGAACATGTGCATAACATGCATGTGATAGTGCAGTGAAATAGACAGGAATCTCAGAAATAAGATACTCAAGAGGCAACACATAAAACAGGAGTTCCTTCAAGAGACAGAAACTGAAAGATATTTCAACATAAAGTGCATATCTCGCCGCATATATTGCTGCCATGAGTTTATTTCAGTGTAAACTTATGGAGAAATTGTTCATATAGATAACCAAAACAATCAGTTTAGGCCTGCTTCTTGGAACAGTCTCATAGAAGAGTTTCTTCAAGAGAATATGACAATAAAACAAGTTGGCTCAACTTTTCAAGAGTTAGATACTCATGACAAGGCAAACATATCTAACGTGCTCAAACGGCAGAGCCAGGATTCTGAAGCAAGAGAGCACAAGTTCAACTCATGATAGTCGTGTTCTATTTCTTTTAAAATGACATAAATAAACCAAAACAAACTTTCTTCTGAAAAAATTGTTTTATTAATTTAATTATTTTCTAAAATTTCTATGGACCAATAATATAGTCAATGTTGCAGGTCTAATCAATTTTTCTGAGAAATAGAAACTAATAGTAATTTATTTTTATTTACATAAAAATTTCTTCTTTCCATCTTCCTTAAAAATAAAATTTACGTCTTTTATCTTTTGATTTTCCATTTTACGTAATTTAATGAGTTTATTTAGTCCATAAAGTCAAGCTTTGACATCCAAACAAACCAAGGGAAAATGTATAAACAAAGTTGCTGAATGGAATTTGAGAACATGACTGCCAAGAAAAGTCAGTTACAATCCACAAATTACAAACAATTATATCTCATGATGAGAATAATAGAAGATGAGCTTAACCGAAATATGTGTTTTCTTTTATAACATTTGTGCTCGTCATGCAAGCAGTTTTTTTTATTGCATGGGTGTTGATTATGTACGGAGAAGACTGACACTATTCTTTAAAAAGTTATTCCAGGTACTTACTTCTTCATATGCAAAAAACAGCAGGAAAAACAGGCTCAAGAAAAGTCAAAGCCACTAAAATGCAGGCGGATAGATAAAACGACAACAGAGATGAAGAAATTTTCTCATTAAGATTTCACTTATGAACAGTTCTGTTTTCTAACAAGCATCCTGATAACAGCTCTTTTTCCGACAGCGTTGTTCTCACAAGTTCTGATTTCTGGATAATCTTATGAAATAAGATATTTCAAGTATAAGACCTTGGTCTAGCAATTAGCCACCCTAGGTTAACGAATTACCAATGGAGTATTTACAGAATGTTGGTATGTCCAGGTCAAATCATAAGGTACTCTGCAAAAATCATTACAATCTGTAATGACATACTAATGAACTTGAGTATTACCATCACAATAAGGAAAGCCTTATTGATTCTCTAGGGCAAGCTCACGCCACACATCCCCGTCGACTGGTTGGCTTTCTTGATCTGTTTAATAAAACATGCATAAGAAAAATCCTAAAATGAAAGGATTGCAAAAAAAATAATAAATAAACCCAATTCTTTTTGTTGAGATACAAGCCTTCTCTAATATAAGACACTACAGAAAGCTGCGAGTATCTAGAAAAGTAATAGAAGCCAAGAGGTAATCTCCAGAAAAATGTGATCCCCAACTAATAAAATTGATTCGCTAAATGCAAGATATGCAAGACGGCCACAATAAAATAATATTGTGATATTTAATATAAACAAGTATGAGTCAAGCAAACTTGAATGTGCAAATAATCACTTTTTTTCCTTTTATTAAGGAAGCTTAGCCTGGATAAAACCTCAGACTTCTGAATACCATAACACAATACCAATCCTTTACCTATGTTCCAGTAATCCAGCATCGATGGTTGTATGTAATCTACTATATGCTCCATCAAGATAACTCTATGTAATGTTAATTTGTAGGGTTATTTCACAAAAAACACCATTAAATATGGTCATTCTATATAAATCACCTTCTATTTTCAATTTATACATAAACCACCTTTATTATATTTTTTGTTGCAATCAACCACTTGGGTCCACATTTTAGTTAAAAATTTTCGGTAATTGACCCTACCTAACCTCAATTAAGGACCACTCTCTAACATACTTGGTATTGACAGCTAATTATCACAGAAAAACCAAAAAACTTGACTTAAAAGTGGGTCCAGGTGGTTGATTGCGACAGAAAACACTTTAAAGGTGGTTTATGTATAAATTGAAAATCAAAAGTGGTTTCTATAAAATGAAACTATTTTAAAGGTGGTTTCTATGAAATAACCCTAATTTATAGATATAAGATACCGCAAATAATTTTTATGGGTGGTTGTTAGCTCCTTCCTCTTTGCTATAAGCATAAGTGGAACTTTTAAGTCACCAAAAATCCAAAATCACAGGAATCCATTTCGAAAAATGGCTTTCCGAGCTCAGCAGAATCATCAAATTCCATGAGTAGGAAAAAGAAAGCGAGTATCCATTATTTTTGTGGGAAATGTTGAATATGTGCATAAGTTTTGAGTTAAGTCACCAAAATTTAAAAAAAAAACCTCATAAAGATATTACAAAATGGGTTCTCTGGGCTCAACAGAAGTATCAAATTCGATGTCTAGGAAAAATAAAGTAACCATTATCCTTTTTTTTCTGGGAAATAGTGGAGCGAGAGCGTACTTGGATCCTCAGCGTCTCCGGTTGGAGGGGCGATCTCGGGTGGCAGAGCGATATCTGGGACGATAGAAAACGAGAAGAGCGAGTGAAGAGATTGAGAATTAGGGTTTTAAATAAATAGAGGCTTCGTGTTTGATGAAATGCGTCAAAGAGGGTGGGGAGAAAAAGGAGAAGAGATGGGGAGAAAACAATAATATACCATCTTCAGGGAGAGTGTCTCTCATCCACTCCTCGTCGAGAACGTCGATTAGAATTCCCAGGCTCAGCAACTCCGCCATCTCCCTCTCCTCTCCTCTCCCTCTCTCTGCTGGAAAATAAAAGAACCCGGCTAAATAAACATTTATAAATCAAATAGTGTGAAAAAAAAATTTTAATAAATCGGTTCTATGGTGTAGTGGTTAGCACTCTGGACTTTGATTCCAGCGACCTGGGTTCGACTCCCGGTAGGACCTTTTTATAAAAAAAAATTGGATGACTAGCATTTTGACATTTTGTGTTACTAGTGCGCACCTGTGTAACGCACGGCTCCCTATTTTTTTAGCAGTGCAGTTTAAACTTGCCTCCATCTAAGTTTTAATATCTTGAATTTAATTATTATATGCTTAAAATTAAAAATCATATCTACTCTTCTATATTTAAAGAATGATCCAATTTTTATTACATTTGCTTTGGAAATCTTATCTACTCATCTATACTTAAAAAATGATCCAAGTTTTAATGCATTTGATTTGCTTTACTGTTTATAATACAGTAAAAATACTGTAGTATAGATAGTAACTTCAAGTGTGGAAGAGCAGAGTATATTCACTGCTTATGCTACAGCAAATTATTGTAGCATAAACAGTAACTTCGAGCGCAGAGGGCAAGAGCAGTTTACTGTTCAGCAACCCTTTGGATTCTCCTTTAAGTATAGAAGAATAGATATGTATACCTCTCTTTATTACTTTTCTTTTGCTTTTTCTTTTTTTATAGATATGTATATCTATAAAGTTGATAAAGAGAGGGGGGGTTGTAGAAACACAAATCAGATTGGTTTGGGTGGATTTGGGTTAAAAAAGCTAACAACACCACATAGTCTTCTCGATTCCTTTCTTTTTCGGATTTCGCCACACCGCAAACCCTAGATTAGTTTCGGACTTCTTCCGCTAATCTCCTCTCGCCTCTTCTGAATCCTGTTTGCGCCTCTTTTCGATTTGTTCTTCGATTTCGAGCTTCGATTGCGAGCTTTTATTTCGAGTTTCTATATGACGCTTCGATTTTCAGCTTTGTTCTTTGATTTTGAGCTCAATTTCCAACCTCGATCCCAAGCTTCGATCTTAAGGTTTGTTCTTCGATTTTGAGTAGAGATTTTGAGCTTCGATCCCAAACTTTAATTCTGTTGCTTTGGTTGGTTGCTACAGTTTTTAGCCCTATTTACAGCTTTGACAATTGGAGGTATAAATCAATAACCCAGTTTTTATCATGGATGGTTATTTGTCATGGTTGATTTAACAGTCAAACTTTGATAATTTAGAGCTTCGTTGTTCCATACGTGCTAATAATTGGTTATAAATTTTGAGGTTTATCTGTTTTTGCTAGGGGTTTTTGCTAATACACCCCAACATCGTGAAAGTTAACAATAATGTAGACTACATTTTTTATTGCAACCATAATATATTGTTCTATTTTTTTAATAAGAATACTGAAAATTTTCCCTATGTATGTTGACTTTGTATATTCAAGTGGATAGCCATATATATTGCTGAACTAACTAGTTTATAAAAATAAATTCGCGCTAAAATTCTTTACGACATTTGATGTGACCATGGATGCATTTTTAGATTTGTGGATGTTTAGTAATTTCGTTTTAAGATTTCAATATATGACTTAGTTGTTTGCGGAAAAAGTTGCTGTATTCATTGCTGCATTCATTACAACTTTAATCGTTACAATGAAATAAAAAGGTAGTCTTTTTATAAGACCGGTACACAATGAAAACAAAAGAAATACAACTCTTTTCAAACAAACGCAAGATCTGTTCATCATCTCTTGCTTGCGTGGGTCTTTTGCCTGTGACGGGGATGTTGATATCCGTGGACCACCGGGGCACTCAGATCTGGTCCGAGAAAATCGGGCAGAGTTTCGTCTATCCGCGGAGGGATTTAGAAACTCTGAACCTCGTCGATCTGCGTGAGATCTAGAGGTTTACAGCTCCTATCTCGGATAATCGAGATATTCGCTCTACTTAGTATCACCGCTAAGGGGCAACACTAAGGAAAAGAAAAGGGGGAAGAAGAAGAAGGCTCCTTTTTGCTGCAGAAGGCCCGCTCACTCCTCGATCCGGCAGGGCTTCGCCGCTTCAGACAAAGGCAATCCTTGGCTAAGATAATTCAGCCTTGAATTGGGAGCCTTAGCCTTTCACTCCAAAGAAATCAGCCCTCTCAAATGAAGGCCTAGGCTCCTATTTATAGGAAAAGGGGGGGGACCATAGGGTGGCCGAGACACCCCCTTGGATTGCGGTGATCGCGGGGTTTTCGGTCAACCCGTATCCCCGTTGTTCTGAGATTCTGTCGGCTCACGTAGTCCGTCGGTTCGCTTCAGGCGCTTACCGACGTCAATTGGACTCTTGTGAACCGGATAATGATGTTCATCGTCGCTCGTTAACACTGAGCTGTGTGCGGGGACCCATCGGCAATTTTCGATGCCTACAGATACCCCCTCCAAAGTGTTTCGGACTCGTTTCTTTTATAGAAGAGACCGGGATACTTTGGATATGATTGGTCCAGCCTTCAGTCGGCATAAGGGACCTGTGGTTCGCTTTGACTCTCGGCTCCTTCGATTTTCGGTTTATCCGGTGCTTTGTCGAATAACCGAAGTTGTTCCGGCGCTGCGTTTATCGTCTGGCCGTCGTTGGAGTTTCGAGTCTACAGCTGGTGAGTTGAGTTTGGCTCGTGTCATTCGGTTGACTTTTGAACTTGCTATCCCTGTCACATCGTGTTGACCTGGGGTTCTGAATCACTGGGGGTTGACTTTTTGTTGCAACGCGCTGAATGGCGTTGACCTAGGGTTACGCGTTGACCGGCGTACGCCCTAGGGTTTCGAATCCGCGCGGTTTGACTTTTGTCGCAACGCGCTGTCCGGCGTTGACCTGGGGTTACGCGTTGACCGGCGTTGACCCTTAGGGTTTGAGTCGTCGAACGTTGACTTTTTTGGTCTTTACAGGAGTCTCACGTTTGGGATCACACCTTTGTGAGGGTGAAACCTTAACGGGCTCCTGACTTTTTGTGTGCATCGCAAAGCGGGTCGTCGTAGCATTCGATTTGTTAGGAGGTCGTGTACGACCCCCAGTCTGGATGTTGGCTCGAAGCTCCTTCAACGATCTCCAGCTCCCCTTATCAAGCGCTTTTCCTCGATTCTCGGGTAGAGTGCCGATACGATCCTCCAGAGGAATCCTAAGCTTGGTGAAATCTCCGCTGCGGTGGGGATTCATCGGAGGTTCGGGATCTGAAGTTGACGAAGGCCGGAGAGCAACGTCGCCTGCTTTTGCCTTTCGGCGATCTCTTAATTGCCTCTCCCTTTAGCATTTCTCGTGCTTTTTGGACCAGGGCTCGGGCATGCGTACGCAAGGCGCGGCACTTCTGGATTCGCTCCTCGAGAGTAGAACGGGTTCTTTTGACATGAACCCATTTGTTCGTTTCTGCTTCGGAGGAGGGGCTGGTTGTTTGCCGTTGTTGCTCTTGGCGATGTCTGGATTTTAGATCCACGTTATAGCGGATCCCATCCATTGGCTCCAAAGCCTCGGCCAGCTGTCGAGCAAGACGTTGACGCTGTCTTTGTCGTGCTCTCTTTGATAATGTTGGAGCGTCTTCAGAAGCCATCTCCTCGGCGGACGAGGAGTCCGGATCTGCGTTCTTGACCACGTTGGACGACGCGGGGACGTCACGTGGTGCAAGTGCAGAGGCGGCAACGGGGTCTTGGATTTTCGAACCGAAGGACCTGCAAACATTTATGAAAGAGGTTACCTTTCTGTACCCGTTTGGAGAGGCGGATCTGGAGGAGGAGGAAGAGAGGCCTTCTTTGAACCGTTGTTGATCGAGATCGTGTTCTTCATTCGCCCCGATCTTGAGTGCTGGTTGCGTCACGACGGCGTCGGTTGCGATGCCGTTGGCTCCCACTGTGGTCGCCAGCTTGTTTGCGGAAAAAGTTGCTGTATTCATTGCTGCATTCATTACAACTTCAATCGTTACAATGAAATAAAAAGATAGCCTTTTTATAAGACCGGTACACAATGAAAACAAAATAGATACAACTCTTTTCAAACAAACGCAAGATCTGTTTGTCATCTCTTGCTTGCGTGGGTCTTTTGCCTGTGACGGGGATGTTGATATCCGTGGACCACCGGGGCACTCAGATCTGGTCCGAGAAAATCGGGCAGAGTTTCGTCTATCCGCGGGGGGATTTTAGAAACTCTGAACCCCGTCGATCCGCGTGGGATCTCAGAGGTGTAAAGCTTATGTCTCGGCTAAAACGAGGCACTAGCTCTCCTTTGTATCACCGCTAAGGGCAACACTAAGGGAAAAGAAGGTGGGGAATGAAGAAGAAGACTCCTTTGCTGCAGAAGGCTCGCTCACTCCTCGATCCGGCAGGGCTTCGCCGCTCTCTTAGAAAACCCCGACTCCTTCCTCCGGCAGGGCTTCGCCGCTCCTCTCTGGAATTTCAGATCTCAAAGGCTAGAGCTCTAGATCTGAAATTCCTCTCCCAAAACCAAGGCCAAGAGAATGGAGGCCCTAGGGGCCTATTTATAGGAAAACAAAGGGGGGGTAGGGGCTGGTTGAGGACACCCCCTAGGGGGGTGTCTCGGCTCCAAAACCGAGACACCCCTTGGGGTGTCTCGGCCATGGCCGAGACACCCCCAAGGGGTGTCTCGGTGAACAGTGCCGGGCTTCCCGATTGGTCCGGGTCTTCGTGATTCCGAAGTCCTATCCGCTCATGTAACTCGTCGATTCACTTCAGTCGTTCGTCGATGTCGATTAGGCTCATGTGGATTGGATGGTGACGTTCATCGTCGCTCGTTAACACTGAACCGGTTGTGGAGAACTATAGGCAATTTTTGATGCCTACAGATACCCCCTCCAAAGTGTTCCTGACTCGTTTCTTTTATAGAAGAGGCTGGAATACTTTGGATGTGATTGATCTGGCCTTCAGTCGGCGTAGTTAGCTTCAACTCTTGACCCTTTCGATTTTCGGTCTATTCGATGCTTTGACGAATAGCCGAAGTTCTTCCGGCGCTGCGTTTATCGCTTGGCCGTCGTCGGAGTCTCGAGTGTGCAGCTGATGAATTGAGTTTGGCTCGTGTCATTGAGTTGACTTTGAACTACCTCCGCCACATTGTGCTGGCTTAGGGTTTCGGATCCCCGTGTGTTGGCTTTTTATCGCAACGCGTTGACCGGCGTTGACCTAGGGTTACGCGTTGACCGGCGTTGACCCTAGGGTTTCGAATCGTCAACTGTTGACTTTTGTTGCAACGCGTTGACTGGCGTTGACCTAGGGTTACGCGGTGACCGGCGTTGACTCTAGGGTTTTGGATCATTGAACGTTGACTCTGATTGCAACGCGTTGACTGGCGTTGACCTAGGATTACGCGGTGACCGGCGTTGACCCTAGGGTTTCGAATCGCCATTAACACAGTTTATACTCTTACGTTTGCTGGAGTATACACAGTTTAAGCTCTTAAGGTATTGGAGCATCGTGGTCTCGAATGTTTGGGCTGCAGGACCAACTATTAAAGCTGATTCACCTGCATGTGTGGATTTTGTCCCGGATTTGTTGGGTGCTCAAGTCACGAGACCAACTAGGGGAGTTGATGCGTCAATGACTCGCAGTTATAGAATTTTTGGCAAATCCTCAGCCATCAACGGATTTGATTAGCCTTTACCGACTACCGTTTGAGTCGGGCTAGCATGCGGATTGTTTAAGTCCGTTCCGCATGTGACGTCGTGCTAAGAGAGTTAACGCTCTTAGTGCTACGATATTGAATACGTAGACTTCGTCTTTCTCACGGGAATAGACTACCCGGCGACGCGTGTTAGGCGTTGACTTTAGGATTTTTGGCTAATCCCCAGCCTTCAACGGATTTGATTAGCCTTTACCGACTACCGTTTGAGTCGGGCTAGCATGCGGATTGTTTAAGTCCGTTCCGCATGTGACGCTGTGCTAAGAGAGTTAACGCTCTTAGTGCTACGATATTGAATACGTAGACTTCGTCTTTCTCACGGGAATAGACTACCCGGCGACGCGTGTTAGGCGTTGACTTTAGGATTTTTGGCTAATCCCCAGCCTTCAACGGATTTGATTAGCCTTTACCGACTACCGTTTGAGTCGGGCTAGTATGCGGTTTGTTTAATCCCGCTTTCATGTGACGTCAAGCTAAAAGAGTTAACCCTTTTAGTGCTACGATATTGAATACGTAGACTTCGTCTTTCTCACGGGAATAGACTACCCGGCAACGCGTGTTAGGCGCTGACTTATCCTTACTTAGGATTCAGGATAAAATTCCCCGTGCGTGTGAGGCACGGATTATGGTGTTATTAATAACAACCTGCCACAATGTTGAATATGTGGTCTTTTGTCCTTTTTACGGTCAAGGACTAACCGGCAATGCGTGTTAGACATAGGCTTTGGGATTTTTGGCAAACCCCCAGCCATCAACGGGTTTGATGTGCCTTTACCGATTACCGTTTGAATCGGGCTAGCATGTGAATTATTAAAACCCGTTTCACATATAACGTTGCGCTAAGAGAATTACTTCCCTTAGACTTAATGCTATGATTTTGAATACATAGACTTCGTCTTTGTTACGGGAAAAGACTACCCGGCAACGCGTGTTAGGCGTTGACTTATCCCTACTCAGGCTTCGGGATAAAATTCCCCGTGCATCGAGTGCCCGGATTTGACAATCGTGTCTTTTCTAAAAGCAAAGACAGATTGAGGATCGGGAGAGGAAGAATTTTATATTCTATCTCCTGGTGCTGAAGAGGAAGAATTTTATATTCTATCTACAGCTGGAAAGGAAACTCGAGGTGGGATCTCCACCCCCAGAATCCGGAAGGATGAAACTAAGAGTGGGATCTCCACTCCGAGAATCGTAACAATTCGGATAACCCTAACTGTCGGAAGGTTTGATTACCCGATTTGGAAGTGGACCTCTCGTTCATTGGGGGAATCGAGAGGAGATTTTGACTGTGGCCCTAACTGTACGAAGGTTTGACCCAGCAGGAGTTTGAGATGACGATCGCTCGATTTGAAAGTGGACCTCTCGTTCATTGGAGGAATCGAGAGGGGATTTTGGCTTTGGCCCTAACTTTTATAGGTTTGACCAGAAAGCGAAGAGAGTGGAATACGGGTAGCAAAGAAAGTGCCAACCCATATTACCACTCAAAGGGAGACTTTAATGTTAGGCGTTTAGGACCTAGCACGTTGAGTCTGAGAAACGCCAATGACTGGCAGATGGGAATGTTGGTGGGTCCACTGTCGTTTGATTTGATCAGCGGATGGTTTGGTGAGGAAAGATTAACCTACCAGAAGATTGGATCTCTTCTCACAAAAATAACTCATAAGAGTTAGAGAATAAGAAGAGACATTCTGACCTTCAGAGTTCGAACGTGAATTTCTTATTCACCAATTCCACAATGATTGGGTTATCCCTAAGAATACCCATGTGGTATTCTTCTGGGAACTTCCCGATGCATTGGATTATCCACCCCCAGTTTCTCTCTTGGAACTGGGTTTGACTTTGTTATCTGGCCGGGTTATCCTTAAGAATATTAGTGTAATATCCTCCAGGAACTTCCCGTTAATGGTAGGAAATAGTTTAGACTCATATACCTATTGGAGTATCAGGGAGCAGTTTAACCTCTTATACCGGTAGGAGGAATGAGAAACAGTTTATACTCGTATACTCTTTGGAGTCGTAAGAAGCAGTTTATACTCTTATACTTATCGGAGTTTTGAGGAACAGTTTATACTCTTGTACTCTTTGGAGTCTTGAGAAACAGTTTATACTCTTGTACTCTTTGGAGTATGAGAAACAGTTTATACTCTTGTACTCTTTGGAAAAAGTTAACATCATTTTTAGATTTGTGGATGTTTAGTAATTTCGTTTTAAGATTTCAATATATGACTTAGTTATTTAATTATTGTTATGTCTTGAATAAGTGGAAAATTAAGTTTTTAATATATACTAATTTTACAATGGATGAAGATGGATAATGTAGATGAAGAACAATTAAAGAGGATGTGTGCTAATATAACTATTTCTTCCGTGGTCACGATAATAACTTGTCTTCTAAGAATACGTGCTAATACAACTGTTCCTTCTAAGGCTTTGTTTTTTTCAGTTGATTTGGTGGATGAAGCTTGTGATGCTCCTTGTTTGGATTTGTTGCATTCGGTTGACTTGGTGGATGGAGCTTATGATGCTCCTTCGGTTTGGTTTTGTTGCTGTCGGTTGGAGCTTGTGATGCTCTTTATTTGGCTTTGTTGGTTTCGGTTCATGGAGCTTGTAATGTTCATTGTTTGGCTTTGTTGCTTTCGGTTGACTTTGTGGATGGAGCTTGTGATGTTCCTTCGGTTTGGTTGTTGTTGCTGTCAGTTGGAGCTTGTGATGCTCTTTATTTGGCTTTGTTGGTTTCGGTTCATAGAGCTTGTAATGCTCCTTATTTGACTCTGTTGCTTTCGGTTGATTTTGTGGATGGAGCTTGTGCTCATTCCTTTTGTTTGGTATTATTGTTGCCGGTTGGAGCTTGTGATGCTCCTTGTTTGGCTTTGTTGGTTTGGTGGATGTAGCTTGTGATGCTCCTTGTAAATTATTGTTGGTTTCGGTTGATGGAGCTTGTGATGCTCATTGTTTGTTTTTGTAGGTTTCGGTTGGTTTGGTGGATGGAGCTTCATAAGATACTTATTTGTTTTTGTTGGTTTAGTGGATGGAGCTTGTGATGCTCCTTGTTTGTTTTTGTTGGTTTCGGTTCATGGAGCTTGTGATGCTCCATAGTTGATATTTGGCAATGATGATTATCTTTTTACTGAGATTGCAATCTAAGTTATAGCGTTTATTATGTTCAGATGAGGCAATCTGTGATGAGAATGCAACCTATATTGAATTGACAATGTCTAGGTGAGGCAATCCATCATTAGAATAAACCTGTAAGTTATAGGTGGGGCATTCAATTTCGACAAAATGCTTTATTCTTGAGCCATACAATATTACTCAATTCCAACAAAAATTCCATTACAATATTAATAGTTTTTTCAAGTACAAATACATGACATGCGATTTACAACAATTAAATTAAAATGATACAAAATATCACTATTAAAATTGCAAAAATTTTCCAAGCTAGCAGTTGTTTTTCGACAAGTTTCAATTCTTTCTTCAGCCTCTTTGATTTTAAAAAATAGTTATCTCCAAACTTGTTTCCTTTTGACAAATTGGTTTCCTTTGTTGTTTATTTCTCCTCCTTCATGAGCCCACTAAAAAAACTATATTCTTTATTTGGGTATTTTGCACGCCCCCAATAATACCTCGCCTTATTTTTTACCATTCTTGCATACTTTCATGGGTGTTTGAAGATTGCAATCGCACCAAACTTTAAAAATTTTAGGTCATTCTTTTGATATCATATTGATGGGAAAGATGGAACTTACAAATCTATGAGAAATCGATATGGTAGTAAAAATGAGGGATACATTAGTACCATAAGCCCTCAATCCACATTTATAGCCTCCAATATCTTGGAACTAGCCGTTGGAGTTATGACTCTTTCGGTTTTAAATTTTGGTAAACGAGTAAGGTTATCCCAACTTCTTACTTAATAATATTTTCTCCACTAGTGAGTGGTAAGTTTACCTATGGTGTTGACATCTATTTATCTCAAAATTTTCTCATTTCAAACCAAACAAAAGAATAGGAATTTGAGGGAATCTATAAAGTTGAATTCTATATTTTCATGTTATGAAACAAACATATAAAAGAAAAAAAAAGATTCAATAACATTCTATGACAACAAAAAATTATCCTTAAATTTTTTATAAATTAGAAAAGAACCTATAAAAAAATATTATTTTCCTAATCCTATTCTTGACCATGGTTGAACAAACATCCCCTAACGTGATAATCCTACTTGTAATTTGCACAGCGACAAGTCCTTGTCGGCTCACAAACGGGTACCGTGTCGTACCCTCGAAAAACCCAACCCGTTTCCGCACCAGACCCGCGATGACTTGGCGAATTCTTATTGGACTTTGCATCGTGGCTTCACCGTAACGAACTAGTATCTCAATTGTATTTGCTTTAAAAAACGTGTAGATCTCAAATTCTCTCTTCCTCCTCCCTCGTTTTTGCTCCCATTTCAGGTTCCGAGGGCGATCGGTTACTGTTCTTCGCCGATCTCTGCGCCGGATCCAGTAGGTTCGCCCGATTTCTCCCAATTTTCTGTAATTTTTTCCCAATCAATGAATCTATTTTCAGTTCTATACAGATAAAATTCTTATAAGTTGCATTTTTTTTATTTTTCTTTTTGAAGACTTTATTGATAATTTGGACATTTGCTTGATCCGATTATGCCGATCTATTGAAAATGACATTCTTGATTTCTGATAGGTCAGATCGATAGGATTTTCGATTGTAACGTTCTGGAATTTGATCTTTCGACTAGTTTGGATCTAGATCTGGTTACTTCAGCTTGATTAAAAAAGCAAATTTTTTTTCCACTTTGGGTGCAGGAAATGGCGGGAGGATTTAGGGTTTTGCACCTGGTCAGACCTTTCCTTGCTATTCTCCCCGAAGTTGAGTCCGCTGACAGGAGAATCCCTTTCAGAGAGAAGGTTATTTATACTGTGATCTCTCTGTTCATTTTCTTGGTGTGCAGTCAGCTTCCTTTGTATGGCATTCACTCGACCACGGGCGCTGATCCCTTTTATTGGATGAGGGTTATTCTTGCGTCGAACCGAGGAACTGTAATGGAGCTGGGTATAACCCCGATTGTGACCTCGGGGTTGGTGATGCAGCTCTTGGCCGGGTCGAAAATCATTGAGGTTGACAATAGTGTGAGGGAGGATCGCGCTTTGCTGTAAGTGCTGCATTCTGGAATTTGTATTTTGGGTAATGGTATGTTTTATGTGCATAGTGGTTAAATTGTTTGGCGAGTTAGGGAGACCCTTTTTTTTATTACAATTTGATATTTTCATGCTAATAGTAGATGCTTACCATATTATGGGACTTGGGTTCTCTATGATAATTTGTTCTGAGCCTTTGTCCTACACGTTGGTGTGTATTCGACAAGTTCATTTTGAAATATGTTCTCTATAAAATTCTCATACTTTGTTGTTTTATCAATTTTGTTATTTGTGATAATACGTGTGTAATGTATTTTTGTACATCTTGTTCATATTATGTTGACGATGTTGGTCAACTGTTTTCCTAGTGCAAAATTGGGATGCCTGGTGACCAGGATAAATATTCATATATTTTGCTTGTATATGTAAATTATATATATTATTTGTTTTTATCACAGCTGTTATTTACTTATTTATTTGAATTGATGGCAAAAAATTCTTTTTTATGATTAGCACTCGTATTCTTAAATCTATTTCTAATAATTTTTTTTCACTTGTTAACCATCATGATTGGCAATAATATTTGTTAGTCAAATATGGTATCTAACAACATTTCTGTTCTTGTATGTTTTTTACCATAATTGGCTTCATTGAACTGTATTCTATGTCTGTGCAAGACATGTTTGGGGATAAACTGCACTTGGATTTTTTTTCCTTCCGAAAACATAAACTATGAGTTGGTTGTATGAATTGTGCACCGGGTTAACTTGCAATACTATCATGTAATATGAATTTTCCCTTCTGAGAGGGGTGAGGGTGCTGGTTGTTACATGCATGGGGATTGCATGGCTTTTAGAGTCTCATCGTCTATAGGGTAAGGGGTGCTGGAAGGAATCTGAATCCTTGAAAGTGACTTGGACCTTGAATATCAACCTATAGGATAACTGTTGCATTGTGACCTTCCTAACCCCTCAACGTGTATGAGAGACGTTCTTTTTATTTGAGACGATTCAAGTTCATTAAATGCTGGTCTGATAAGATAAATTGATCGTTGATATAAGTTATTCTTCATCATTCATGGTTAATCGTTTTCTGATCACATAATTCCTTATTTAATGATCCATATAGAGCTTGTCATATGATATCTAACGAGATTTGGTTAAATTGATGTATATCATCTTCCCGCCTTCTTTTAGTAAAAGAAAGGAAGAATTTTTTTTATCTCCTTTCTGAGAACATACCTGCTTAACTTCGCTTTGTCTCGTGCTGTCCTTCAGTCTTATCAGCTCTTCTTCACCCTCCTCAGGCAGCTTATGGATTGCAAAAATATAATTGCAAACTAGTGCAAATGAAACTGAATGTTCAATGCCCATCTATTTGGGAATTTGAAAAGTTGTTTTAAATCTAAAAAAGGAAGATGTCTTCAACGAATCCTTGTTGTTTAAGCTTGAAGATTAAGCTTCCATCACCCACCTCAGCTGTTATTTTTGTTAAGTTAGCCTCTGGTGGCAATTATTCGACATCTAAATAGTTTGAATCTTCTAACAAAGCCATAACATGTCTAGTCAAAGTTCGTATATTGACTTATTTTGTTTATTTTACAATTTTGCCTAACATTATCTATTTATGCGTATGGTGTAGGAAACTATGGTTTCTGAATCTGTCTCAATTTTCCAAAGAGCTCCATTTCAAAATAAATATCTCATATCTTTCCTGTGCACAATGCTCAAGATATTTCTGAACTTGTCCTTGAGTATGAATACCAGTTGATTGTCCAGATTGCAGGAAACTTCTGCCTTTACATCATTAACCAAATCAATATTTGATCTCATAATAAGTGAATGTCACCACCCAATCTGCAGGATTCACAAATAGGCACTCTTAAATTATCTACACTGTTGGATCTTTTTATATCAGCCATAGGTTACAATGGACTTTTGTGTTTTTAAATGTCATGCATTTTGATTTGCAAATGGAAGAATATTATTGTTTAAAATTTGTGTTTATTGGGCTTATAATGTTAACATTCTGTTTACAGAAATGGTGCACAGAAGTTGCTAGGCATCCTTATTGCTATTGGGGAGGCAGTTGCTTATGTTCTATCTGGGATGTATGGCAGTGTTAGCCAACTTGGTGCTGGCAATGCTATTCTTATAATCCTCCAACTTTGCTTTGCGGGTATCATTGTCATATGCTTAGATGAGTTGTTGCAGAAAGGATATGGACTTGGTTCTGGCATTTCTCTCTTCATCGCCACCAACATCTGGTAAGCTAATGGGTTTATGCATTCTTTCTTGGCCCATGAATGTAAAGGAGAATAAAAACTGAAAGTTCAATTTTCTCCTGTGCAGTGAAAACATCATCTGGAAGGCTTTTAGCCCTACTACTATTAACAGTGGCCGAGGTGCTGAATTTGAAGGTGCTGTCATTGCCTTGTTCCACTTGTTGATAACTCGAACAGACAAAGTCAGAGCTCTCCGTGAAGCCTTTTACCGTCAGAATCTTCCGAATGTGACGAATCTGCTTGCTACAGTCTTGGTTTTTCTCATTGTTATTTACTTTCAAGGTTTCCGGGTTGTTCTTCCAGTTAGATCGAAAAATGCTCGTGGACAGCAGGGTTCCTATCCAATCAAGCTATTTTACACCTCTAATATGCCCATAATCTTACAGTCTGCCCTTGTTTCCAATCTATATTTCATTTCCCAAGTAAGACAGATATAGCTACATACGACAAAAAATAGCACAATCCTTTTCCCTCGAGAAACCTAATCCTCTTTCATCTTATACAGCTACTCTACAGGAGGTTCAGTGGAAATTTCTTTGTGAATCTTCTCGGTAAGTGGAAGGAGTCTGAATATTCTGGTGGTCAGTTCATTCCTGTTGGCGGTATTGCTTACTATATTACGGCTCCATCAAGGTAATTTTACATCTATATCTGTGTTTGTCTATTTATATTGTGAAGTTCAGATTAATTTCTTGTAGCATTATTATGTTCACTTGTTTCTAATACCTTCTGTTGGGAATGTGTAGCTTGGCAGATATGGCCGCAAATCCATTCCATGCACTCTTTTATATTGTCTTTATGTTGTCCGCTTGTGCACTTTTCTCAAAGACATGGATAGAGGTGTCAGGATCATCCGCAAGAGATGTGGCTAAGCAGCTAAAGGTACATATTTGTTCGTCTTCAATCATCTTTTCCAAAATCATGTTTTTAGTCTTTGAGGGTAAATAAAGGACTAAATTGAGTCAGGACTCATGGGATATGTTCTTAGATGCACTAAATGGATAAGCTCCATCTTTCACTAACATGCAAGCCCTGGCCTTTTTTTCTAGGCAAAGTGCTTTTTGTATCGTACCTGGCAAAGGGCAAGTGCTCTCTAGCCAAGTCACCAAGTGCTCTCTAGCAAAGTCAGTGTCCATTATATGCAAAACCGTAGAAGCATCACATCTGCCATTTTGGTTAACTTGTAGGTCAGAAATGCCTAATGCATGGTGCACAAAAAATACTAGTACATGTATGCAGCTATATAAATTATTTCTAACAATATAACCTATCTATTCTTGAATTAAAAAAATGACTTAGTTTTTAAATACATTAGAACAATTTAGACTAAGATGAATATGCGTACCTGACATGTGTCTGTATCTATATAGTCTTTCGAATGAAAGAGAGCCTCCTTATGCTTTTATTTAGTCAAATAATATGAAAATGATATGTAAATAAGTAAATAGAAAAAACAAAACAAAACGATTCCTGTGGGATTAAAGACAGAGGAATATAAAAATAGGCAATACAGAGTAGTTTTCACAGTTAATTTATTGAGGTTACTGCCTGAACACAAGACAAAGGATAGTGTAGTTGACATTATAATGTTGAG